CCAAAATACCAGAGCATTGGTGTGTGATGTTGTTGTAGACATTAGATTCCATGTCAAAAATGAAGTCAAATGAGGAGGAAGTTCTTGTATTTTATTGTAATGAAATATGGAAAACAGGCCAAACAACCCATCAAAATTGATTGCTTTCTTTTCAGCATAATCAGGAAACATGCCTCAATTAATAGGAAAACAATTAGACCAAATAGTTAACCAAAAATTGACAACTTTCTTCTTTTTCTTCTTTATCGTCTTCTGGATCATATTCTGAACATATTCAGGAAATACATAAAGTTAAATACTTAAAATGACATCATCATACCATCATCATGGGAATAAAATTCAAAAGGCATAATTGGTTACAAAAACTTAAACAACATTTACATAAAAATCTCCTTATTGGTCAAATGTAAGTAAGGTGTTTCTATGCAATAGCGTCACATATTTACTTGACATGACCTAAGGCATATCGGCTAAAGCTTGTTCTTCCCCAAACAAAAGTATTCATTACTGATACGAGACTAAAATCCTATCTGACCCAGACATTGAAAGGTTTGCCCTAAGAACTACAGAATCATGAACTTTGTACCTATTATGTTGTCTGCTGGCAATATCAGACCTACAAGAGGAAAGCCTTCTATATAACAGGCCTTTCTAACATCCTAATAAAATATTACTTAAAGAATAAATCTATAAAAACCAGAGAAATATGAATAATCAAAACAGGGGAAAATCTTTATAGTCCCATCTCTACTACAAGTCCCCCCTTTGGTACAGTGACCAAATATAGGCTCACTGCTACCACTATCAATTGCTATGTGAGAGAGGGTGCATCATGATATGATTTTCATAGGGAAGAGATTATTGGAACCATGCTTAGCAACAAGACAAACCAAAAGAAAGGCATTGAATACAAAAACAAAAACCCCAAAATCCAAGAAAACAAAATCTCCAAAAAATTACCAACATAGAGAAAGGCCTTAAAAGCATTCTTTCCACTTACGTTTCCACTTACCATCACTTCCAAGTCCTGGATCACAAGTAGATGGGCCCCCACTCTTGCGCAGTGGTCCTGGGCCTCCAGCCACGTCTTTGTCCCTCCTGAAAACCAGAAGCACCTTCCATTCAGTTGTGTCCAGTTGACTGGGCAGAGCTGACACTCAGAACTGTCTGTGTGGAGAAAGAGGGATTTCCCAACATCAGGTCATTGTAGCTCAGACTAGTTTCTCTCTCTTTTCCCATTTGCCCTGTTTTGCACATCAGACGTGTGACGCCGACACCCCTCATAAGTATAAAAGTGTGCCGTCAAAGAGAAGGAGTCTTGGATTAGAGGAAGCTGATCTGGGACCAAACGGGGCTTACAGGGGGGTCTCCTGCTCCCACTGCTAGGTAGTATTGCCCAGTTTGGCTTCCACTGAAACCTCACCTATAGCACCATATTTTGCCATCAAGTCAAGCTGGCGTCTGGCGACCCCTAGTGGAGCTGGAAGTCAAGGGACGTCCAGAGGTGGCTGGCCATCGCCTGCTTCTGCGTCATGACGCTGGAATTCCTTGGAGGTCTCCCACCCAAATACTTGCCAGGGCTGAGCCTGCTTAGATGCCGAGATCTGATGAGATTGGGCTAGCCTTTGCCGTCCAGGTCAAAGCCAGAGATAAACAGAGGTGGTTTGCCGCTGTCGGCTTCTGCGTCACAACCCTGGTATTCCTTGGAGGTCTTATGAGACTAAAAAAACCCTGTGCTTGCTCTTTCCCCATGATTCATAATATTACCAATAATTATGTCTCCACCCTACGTTTTCTTTTTTCTAAACACAATGAGATGAGACAACTCAAATCATACACAGTATTACAAACGCAGCTGCCGTATAGATTGGTGGAATGGCATTGCGATACAGGCTCCCCCCACCCACCCCTTCTTTTCCTAATAATTCCTTACACAGTTTGGCTTTCACTGAAACCTCACCTTCAGCACCATTTTAAAAGCTTTTTTTTGCCAATAAGTCAAGCTGACTTCTGGCGACCCCTATTGGGGCTGGAGGGCAAGGGACCTTCAGAGGTGGATCGCCACCGCCTGCTTGTGCGTCACGACCAGTGTTCCCTCTAAGCTGAGTGAGTGTGAGCTAGCTCACAGTTTTTTAGCCTCCGGCTCACACATTTTCATCTTGGCACAGGAAGGAGGGCTCCAGAGCAAACTAATTTATGCAGTAGCTAAATCGCTTGCTCACCACTTTAATGCCAGTCGCTCACAAAGTAGAATTTTTGCTCATAAGACTCCACAGCTTAGGGGGAACATTGGTCACGACCCTGGTATTCCTTGGAGGTCTCCCACCCAAATAGGAGCCCGGGCCGGCCCTGCTTAGCCTCCGAGATCTGACAAGATCGGACTTGCCTGGGGTACCCAGGTCAGGGCACCTACAGCACCATTTAAAATTAACCTCCAGTGTTGTTAATACCACCTTTTGCCTGCGTTGGCTGGCAGTCACAGCTAGAGGGAGCTGTTTGCTCAACTCTCGTGAGTCGTATCCATGAAGACTACAGATGATGCTGGCAACTACTGAAAGGAGAATATGTCTCTGCAATGTAAACTGAAATATTAAAACACTGTTGCATAACAGCTGTCCAAGACCTGTCCCAATTGTGCTCTGAGCAACTGCCCCCCCCTGCACAAACAGTCCTAAGGAAGAAAACCTGGGAAGGACACATTCTGCACCAGAAAACATACTTCCACTGAATGACTAGCAAACCTTTCCCATGGTTTGAAAGGATCTGCACATGGTGTAAGAGGAAGAGGTGTAACGTGCCTGTTGGTGGTCCGCACAAGCTGTTTTTCAGGCGAGCCACGGCATCCCGGGAAGAGGGACAGTTCTCTGCAAGGCCTGCCAGGGTTCCCAGTTCACCCTCGGTGGCATTTAGAGCCCCCGCAGTCTCTCCTTTGCAAAAACTGCCCTGCAAAACTTGACCAAGAGGGTTATGTGAGACACCCCCCCAGAAAGCCCTTCACAAGGTAAAACAGAGTGAGACTTAAGAGGGAGAACAGAGTTTGAGACCAAGACCAACAAAGTTTTATTCAAGGTATACGTTTTTGTGTCTACGCACACTTCTTCAGATACAATGAAATGGAAGTTACCACCAGGGGTCATTTCCTGCAGGAGCGCCCAGGAGCGGAGCTCCGGCAGAAAAGAGCCCAGGGGTCGGGCACATGCAACACCCCCTGCTCCCAGCAGCCCTCAGTCAGAGCAAGAAGCAGCCAGGTAAGCTGCAGAGACCCCCCCCCCCCCGGTCCAAAACAGTCCAGTGGCACCCTTAAAACCAAGTTTTATTCAGGTACAAGTTCTCCCTCTTCTCTGAGGGCAGATGTGTGGGAAACCCCCCCCCCCCAATAGCTAGCAGCTAGCAATCCAAAATAGTCCAGTGGAGCCTGAGTGATGGGTGTTGCCTTCTGACACACTTCCGGTGATGTCGGGGTGTGTGGCATATGCAAATAAGTTATGGTAATGAGTTATGCTAATGAGCTCCTGCACCTCTTTTTCTGCGAAATGACCCCTGGTTACCACCAGTCCATACATATAGGTAGAGGGTGAGCAGTAAGTTAGCATCCAGCATGGTGAAGACGTTTAACAGATTCATGGACCAAACAGGAATAACAAGCTTAGTTTATATGGTTAGCATTTGTTTGGGTTTAATTCTGGGGAAAACATAGTGAAGGAAATAAATATGTCAAAATTGGAGATTGATGGGCAGATGTAACCTTGCTTGAGAGGAGACGGATAAGAGTGTAATGCGAGGTCTCAGTTAATTACTCTCAGCATTCCACAGTTAAAACAATCTTTGCTTACCAGCACATAAAACCACTAATTCAAACACAACCATCTTCCAACAAGCAAGTGAAAGTGCAACACAGCCATTTTCAGAAAGGGACTTGCCTTTTTATGTGGCTCTTTCAAGTACCACACACTTTGACGGCACCACATAAGCAGTGTTCCCTCTAAGCTGAGTTAGTGTGTGAGCTAGCTCACAGTCTTTTAGCCTCCGGCTCACAGATTTTTGTCTTAGCTCAGGAAGGGTGGCTCCAGAGCAAACCAATTTATGCAGCAGCCCAATCGCTCGCTCACAACTTTAATGCCAGTCGCTCACAAGGTGGAATTTTTTGCTCACAAGACTCCACAGGCTAGAGGGAGCATTGCACGTAAGTAACAATTTAAATATGCACTTACCAAGTCATGATTAATATACGTACTTACCAAGGAGCACCAACACAATCGTGGCCAGTCCCAGTGTCACACAGCCAGCCCCTAATACCCACACAGAGGTTGGATAGCGACTGGAGCTTGTGGGAATCCCTGCAACAATTGAAAGCTGAGTGAAGAGGTCACACCTCATTTCAGTTATTGGCAGCTAGGCTGTGCCTTGTCTTGGGTTGCCCAGACCAGCCCGATTTTGTCATATCTTGGAAGCTAAGCAGGATACTTGGCTGGGGGGCCACCAAAGAAGCCCAGGGACATGACGCATCGGCATGGCAAACCACCTCGGAATATCTCTTGCCTTGAAAACCCTACGGGGTCACCCTATGTCAGCTGCGACGTGATGGCAACAAATAAATAAATAATCTAGGATGTTTCCACATGGAGGTCTTGCTTGGTGCCAGTTTGGTGTAGTGGTGTGACCTTGGGTCAGTCACAAGCTCTGGCACAGCTGTCCTTGAAAAAGAGCAGTTTGTGTCAGAGTTCTCTCAGCCCCACCCACCTCACAGGGGGTGTCTGTTGTGGGGAGGGGAAGGGAAAGGAGTTTGTAAGCCGCTCTGAGACTCCAAGTGAAGGGCGGGGTATAAATCCAATCTCCTCCTCTTCTTCTTCTTCACTTGGTTTCCTTACTGCTGTTTTTGGGAGCGTGCACATGATCTTGTTTCATCCTGTGCCTGTGTTTTTGTTGTACGACCAGTTTGTGACACTGTTATGCACTCAGCACTCTGTCTGCCTTAGTAGACTAACCCTAGTGGACTCAGCACCTATGACATACACAGACATACAGACATGTTAAGTGCCATTGATGATTCTAATTACAGAGATAGAAACCTATTATGAATATATATCCAGGTATTCACTTTGGTTCAATGCTTAAATGCATTCTGGGAAAAATACTAAATGCTGACAGGCAGTAACTGATTGCTGGTGACCTTGGTCGTGATGGCTAGCTGTGACTCCACATATTCCTGACGTCATTTAGCCTACGTTAGATGAAGAACACACCACTATGTACCCATATCTGTTACATTAGATACTTTTTGGGATTTTACAGCCTGAGAAGAAGAAGGCCCATTGTTCAGCTGTAGGAGGTACATTTTTGCCTGTGAAAATCCAACCCACAGGTTCGGGCCCAATCAGAATGGTGTAACGGATATATGACAAGGTTTGATGGAACCAATAATTATGATTTATTTCTGTCATAGGGGGTATAAAACTTTATGTCTCCCATTGTAACCTTAGGGAGAGCTGTGGGTATTCAAGGATTCAAAACCTTGTTGTACCTGTATTTCCCCTCCTTTATTAATAAAGTTTTAGCCTGGATTCTACTCTACAGGACTGCCAAGTGCTTTCTCAAATTGGGCTGGGGAAGCACAACAACCCGTGACGGAGTTTCTGTCTCACATTTTCTCCTGTTTTGCTGTGATTTTGCCCAAACCCGATCAGGTACTATCTTTTTGGGTTTAATTCCAGGGCAGACAGGAAGGTATGCATTTATACAGGTACTGCTCATGTTTGTGCCATTTTCCCTTGCTTGAGCCCCATGGCCACAATTCCTCCACTCCAGAATGGCTTTTTAAAACAAAAAAATCAGAAATTGACAGATTGCTGCAGCACATTAGCATCACAACACTAGGCTGCTTCCCATCTTTCATTTTTTAAAAAGCATCTTGCCCTTTTAATTGAGGAGTTATAAAGGGAGATGTTCAACCTACATCTTTTCACTTATAACTTCAAAACAAAACAGGGGGAGAATCCCCTTTTAAAAAAAATGACATCTGGGGACAAGTAGATTGTGGCAGTAAATCACTGTAACATTATTGTGTCATTCAGACCTGTGACTCTCTAATGAAGACAAAAACATTTTAATTACAATAAATACAATTACTATTGAGGCATACGAATGATTTAAAAATTGAGCGCAAGTTACGATAAAATGGCATAGGAGAAACTCACAAACAGGAAACGCAGCAAATGGAAGCAGGCGAAATGAAAAAGCTTACTTTAGCAATACACAAGAAACCCAAAATGAAAACTAAAAAGGCATCAATTTAACAGAGGAATGGGCTGCTCCATTGTTCACATCTTGTGCTGAATCGGGAGCCATCCCTTTCCGGACAAGGAAAAGCAGGCCAGTGAAGGACCCGGAACCATCTGAGGCTGTAGCTTTACTGAAGCTATAGGATGGGAGCCCACTGGGGGGTGCTCCGTATGACATAATTATGATAAATAAATTCATTATAGCTGTCCATCATAATGTCCCTGGAACTTATCATTATGCATATATGCTACTCGCTGATGTTAGAGAAAGGGCTGAATTTTTAAATAACAAAATCACTTCACGCAGAGTTAATACATATGTATTAAATATTTTATTTTTTTAAAAGGACACAGATTTAAATCCAGGCTAGACGGTGTCCTGTGGACTGACTCCACTATTAAGTCTGATGATGCTTACTCAGATGTAAGCCCCACTGAGTTCAACAGAACTGAATTCCTAGTAAGTGAGTTCAGAATTTCAGTCTGGGGGGGGGGGGTTTCGGGGTCAGGGTCATTGTTTCAAAGCAGATCTAAACACAGAAGAAAAGCAGTGCTCAGCATTACAGGTCGAAGGCAGGCTGTGACGATCGAGAACTTGGCAGCCATTTTAAGTCGCATGCACTGAAGCCATTTCCACACCCAAAGCTGAATATAAACTGAAGGCACATTTACTTGAAACTTTGGACTCTGAAGGACTTACTCCTGAAATGAACATGCCTATCACCAATGCTCCCGCTGTAGAGTCTTGTGAGCAAAAATTCTACTCTGTGAGCTCCTGGCATTAAAGTTGTGAGCGAGCAATTGGGCTGCTGCATAAATTAGTTTGCTCTGGAGCCATCCTTCCTGAGCTGAGGCAAAAATGTGTGAGCCTGAGGCTAAAAAAACTGTGAGCTAGCTCACACACTACCTCAGCTTAGAGGGAACACTGCCTATGACCTGACCACAAGCCTCCATGTCACGCACGAATGTTATTACCAGAGGAGCACACAGGATATGAACAAACACTCTAGTCCACATCAGTGGTGAGCACAGAGTGATGTGAGAGGAAAGCCAATCTATGCCCCAGATATGGACAACACCCAGCCTTTGCCTTTGTGCTAGTGAAACTTCCAGAGGGGTGGCCGTGTTCATTCGTAAGTTCAGCGAAACCAAAATGGGGTTTGAGGGCACATGACAGCCTAGGGATGCCAGCCTCCAGGTGGGACCTGGGGATCCCCTGGAATTACAGCTCATCCAGTGCTCCCTCTAAGCTTTGGAGTTCTGTGTGCAAAAATTCTACTTTGTGAGCTACCAGCATTAAAGTTCTGAGCAGGCAGGTGATTTGGCTGCTGCATAAATTAGCTTGCTCTGGACTGGAGCCATCCTTCCTCCTGAGCAAAGGCAAAAACGTGTGAGCTGGAGGTTAAAAAACTGTGAGCTAGCTCACACTAACTCACCTTAGAGGGAACAGTGAGCTCATCTCCAGACTACAGAGATCAATTCCCCTGGAGAAAATGGATGCTCTATGGGATTGTACCCCACTGAGGTCCCTGTCCTCCAAAACTCCAGGAGTTTCCCCTCCTGGACTTATCTGGTTGATGGTCACCATTCCTTGGACCGAAACCTCTTCAGATTTTCCCTGACCTATCTTTATAACCAAGTATTGGTCAAAATCAAGAGACAGCAATTCTGTTTACGGCAGGGTACATAACCTCAAAGGCAAGGAACATAAGAACATAAGAGACGCCAATGTTGGATCAGGCCAAAGGCCCATCCAGTCCAACACTCTGTATCACACAGTGGCTAGAAATACCAGTGCCATCAGGAGGTCCACCAGTGGGGCCAGGACATTAGAAGCCCTCCCACTGTTGGAAAAGCGGTATCCCTATGCTTTTCAGCAGAGACACAATTGTCCTTATCACACAAAAAGGCAAGCTCTCAGAAACCTATCGTATTATTTATCTATCTATTTCTTTATTTAAAGCATTTAAAAAGCTGCCTTTCCAACCAATTTAGGGTCCTCAAAGCAGCGTACAATAAAAGCATTCAAAGAAGATCAAAAACAAATATTTCAAAACAATCAGAGCACATAAACAATGAACATATGACCAGGAGGAGAAAGGGTCTAGGGTGGCCAACTCCATGTGCAGAAATACCTGCAGATTTGAGGGTGGGGGCTGGGAGGGAACGACCTTGGTAGGGGGATAATGCCCTGCGGTCCACCTTCCAAAGCAGCCATTTTCTCCAGAAGTGGAATAAATATTTCAAAGAAATAAGGAAGACCTAAATAAGTGATTTGTGTAGTCTGGAGGTCAGTTCCAATTCTGGGAGATCTCCAGTCCCCACCTGGAGGTTGGCAACCCCGGGAAGGGCCAGTGAGACTCTGTCGGGGGGGGGCACGGGACAAAACAAAACAGTCTTCACTGCTGGCGGGAAACTATGGTAGAGCGGAACAGACAGATTTCCCTGGGGGCTGAACAAAGTTTGAGTCCAGCTGCACCTTTAAGCCCAACAGTTTTATTCTGGGTACAAGCTTTTGTCTGCATGCGCACTTCTGGGGATCGTTTTCTGAACACTTGAAAACTATGTTTAAAGAAAGCCTTCATTAAAGGCTCCCTGCCACCCCCAACCTCAGAGCACAGATTCTTGTATTGTTAACACAAGAGATTCTGGGGAGAGTCATACCTTGGTTCCCATTATTTTCTGAGCAACAAACGGAGTTCCCATTTCTGGGCCAGAAACTCAGTCCCATGTATCCGTCTCCATCTTCCATGGCTGCAGAGTTTATGGTCCAAATAATGGAAGGGTCTGAAAACAGACTGGACTAGATACTCAAATGTGCTCTCAGCAGTACTAGTCTGAGGGCCTCTTTCCGGTACGAAAGCTGTGAAACCACAGGCTTAGTTGACCTACAGCAGGCCAAAGGAGCCCATGGCTTGAATATCGCTTTCATACGCACTAAATAATGCACTTTCAGTACACTCTCAATTCACTTTGCGACTGGATTTTACTGTGTGAAATGGCAAAATCCTCTTGCAAACGGTTTCTCCATTCACTCCAAAGGAAGAAGCCAAACCATGCACCTTCCATTCTGCATGCTTGCTCCCTCTATTGAAATGAATGGGCTGCTCAGATGTGTAACACCTGAAGGTTGGCACACCTGTGTGAGGCTCTGGACAGAGGTTCCCACGTCCACTGTTTGCTTTGAGTAGCAGTTTAAGAACATAAGAGAAGCCATGTTGGATCAGGCCCTTATCCAGTTCAACACTCTGTGTCACACGGTGGCCAAAACCCAGGTGCCCTCAGGAGGTCCACCTACGGGGCCAGAACTCCAGAAGCCCTCCCACTGTTGCTCCCCCAAGCCCCAAGAAGAATGCAGAGCATCACGGCCCCAGACATGAGAAGCCATGTTGGATCAGGCCAACAGCCCATCCAGGCCAACACTCTGTTTCCCACAGCAGCCAAAACCCAGGGGCCATCAGGAGGTCCACCAGCAAGGCCAGAACCCCAGAAGCCCTCCCACTGTTAACCCCCCCCAAGTGTAAAGACCAGCAAGACTTTTTAGGGGCTAAGCTTTTGTGACTCTTGTAAGCTGATGCCCTTAAAATCTTGTCCAGGTGTTACTAGACTCAAATCCTACTGCAGACCAACATGGCAGATACTCTCTGAAAAATATATATACATATATTTAAGTAAATCAGGCAACCCACACTGTAGACCAACATGGCGGCTACTCTCTGAAAAATATATATACATATATTTAAGTAAATCAGGCAACCCACACTGTAGACCAACATGGCGGCTACTCTCTGAAAAATATATATACATATATTTAAGTAAATCAGGCAACCCACACTGTAGACCAACATGGCGGCTACTCTCTGAAAAATATATATACATATATTTAAGTAAATCAGGCAACCCACACTGTAGACCAACATATATATA